TGAGCTTGAACTGCTAGAACTTGAGCTTGAACTGCTAGAACTCGAGCTTGAGCTTGAGCTGCTAGAACTCGAGCTTGAACTGCTCGAGCTTGAGCTTGAGCTGCTTGAACTTGAGCTTGAACTGCTCGAGCTTGAGCTTGAGCTGCTAGAACTCGAGCTTGAGCTTGAGCTGCTAGAACTCGAGCTTGAACTTGAACTGCTTGAACTTGAGCTACTTGAGCTTGAACTTGAACTACTAGAGGATGAACTGCTTGAACCTTGAATATAAATAAATGTTTTAGAATTATGGTAAACTTTAGTTTGATTTATTTGTTTTCATTTAGATAATATCATTTGATATTAAGTTTGTTCAAAAGAGAATATTAATGATCATTTTAAATTTGCAAGATATATTTCATATATAAGAAAAAAATATATTCTGAAATGAAGAAAATAACTGGATTATCATGCATATACAGTAAATACTAGTTAACATTATTCTAAAACCCATTTTAAAAAGCTTTAGAATTAATGAATGATGTAATGCTTAAGTCACCTCCAAGATTCTGCAGCCCAGAACTGAAAAATATGTTTTTAAATCTGTAAATTAAAAGAAATAAAACATTTTAATACCTGCAGCCACCTTTACACACATACAAACACACATACTCTCAGATTGTTTATAATTACAAAGTATAGAATACACAAAAAAAAATATGTTAAAGTTCTTGGGACGGCATATTTTAAATCATAATGTTATTAAATAAAATAAAATATATAGAAGGCGAGTAACTTTTTAAGTCTGTATAAAATCTCTATATCTATAAAGCTGTTATTATAGCATATGATTGGTGCAGTGAAGAATAAATTTCTTGATGAAGCTAGTGTAATAACTGGTGTTACATATTTAGTAATGAGAAATATTAAACACATAACAAAACAATACTTTGCAGGAACTGACCTATTAGAACTACAGCCACTGTCTTAACCAGATATGCTAAATTTATTAATTTTTAAAAATATTGTGTTTCCTGTGTGTTTCAGTGTAATTTTAGATAAAATTGTAAAGCAATTTTGTCTGATGGTATTACCTGAAGTACTGAAATGTGCCTTAGGGATGTTACACTACTTTTGAGATAAGCTACAGGAACAATTTAAACTTGAGCTAACTACTTTTAATACAAAGGGATAATCTATGCTGCTTGAGGTTAAGAATTATGTGAAAAACAAGTAATTAAGAAGCTTTAAACAATAAAGCAGATTCATGCGTCATTAGGTTTGTTACATGTAATATTAGGCACCATCATAGCCATGCAACGTAAACTCACAATAAATGTGCACTAGCTTATATTTACAGTATATGCTGATACTTGAAGAAGGAGACACATCCATGCTTAGCTTACCAGAATTACTAGAAGCTAAACTTCTAAAACTAACTAAACTTGGGATACTGGAATAACTTGGGCTAATGGAGCCTGAAGGTAAAAAGGAAAATAATTATAGTTATTAACTTTATGCTAAAGTAAACTAATATATTCGTTGCAATAAACCACTTAAGCATTAATTACTGTTCTGTAACAAGTATTCATTTAAATATTTTGATTCTGTAAAAATCCAGAATAAGTATTGATAATTATGAATAATGATGGCACTATGCAAAAATTGAAGACCTGAAATAGTTGGGATGCTAATGCTACAACTGCATCATATATAATATACACATACATATACATATGATATACATCTATATATATCTATATATCTGTATATATTTGTGTGTGTGTGTGTGTGTGTGTGTGTGTGTGTGTGTGTGTGTGTGTGTGTGTGTGTGTGTGTGTGTGTGTGTGTGTGTGTGTGTGGTGTGTGTGTATGTATGTGTGTGTGTGTGTGAGAGAGAATGTGCATGCGTGTGTGTGTATACATATAGTTATACACATATACATATATATATATATATATATATATATATATATATATATATATATATATATATATATAATATATATATATATATATATATATGTAATATATATATAATATATATATATATAAACTTATATATGAATATGTATATATATATATATATATATATATATATATATATATATATATATATATATGCATATCTATATCTATCTGTTTGTCTGCCTATATACATACTAAACTATTCATTAGCTTACAAATTTAGGCACCAAAAACAAGTATGACTTCAACTACTTACAACTATTAAATTTAAATTACTTGGAAAATATTTAAAAGGAATATAGAAATCAACTGCATATTTACATAAGGTACTGATACTTGAAGAACAAGAGAGAGAGAGATCTGGGGTTGAGAATCCAGAACAACTTGAGCTTGCTTTGCTGATACTACTGAAGCCTGAATCACTGTTGTCAGAGAGGCTGAAGCTTTCGGGGCTACTAGAGCTTGAGCTATTAAATCTAACGGCACTGAAGTCAACTGAATTTAAACTTGAGTTACTAGAATATCCTGGACTATTTATGCCTGAAATTAACAGAAAAAAAATTGACTGCACATCAAAATTCAAGGAGGAAATACATGATACATTTAATATAGAATGTAAATAAACAGTGGTATTATAAAAAAATCACAATGAATGCTGCAAATTTCTATTTACATAGTATGCTAACACTTGATGAAGAGGATGCTGATAAACTTGACCTATGACTGCGAGAGGAACTGGCCCTTGAGCAGCTTGAGGACATAGAACTCTCTTGACTGTCATGATTCAGACTCAGACTAGTGGGAATATGGGAGCCTGAACTACAAGAACTAGTGAAACTTGATATACTGGAGCATTCTGGGTTACTTGAACCTGGTAGATGATAGTTTACTGATGTAAGAGTAAAACTGTACAACAAATTAAGGAATAAGAAATCCTACTTTGTAGCAAACTATTATTGATTAATTGGAAAATACTGTTTTTTTATATGTTTCATTGGAACAGTTTACCAAAACTCATTATATAAATACATTAATCCCTAAATAAAACTACAGAAACAGAGTAAATATTTACACAATATACTGATGCTTGAAGAGCACGAAAGAGATATTCCTAAACTCGAACAACTTGAAGGAATAAAATTTCTTGAACCCGAACCACTGGTACTCTGGAGTTTCAAGCTCGGTGAAAAGCTGTCATGAAGGTGGCCTGAACTACAGGAACTAATAAAGCTTGAAATATTGGAGTATTCTGGATTACTTGAACCTGAAGATAATTTTAAAATATGCTATGAATGAAATAGGATATGGAGAGAATTTTCAAATTAACATGATAGATATTATATGTCTTTAGAAAAGAGTAGGATGGAGGATCACCACAATATTAATGCAATAGAAATGTTCATTTACATAGTATGCTGAAACTTGAAGAGCATGAATCTGCAAACTTGAACTATGACTGTGATAGGATAGGTAGGATATAGTACTCCTTAGACTTGAGTCTTTAGCATTATAAATACTCTAGATTAAAGGAAAGACTGAACTACAAGAACTAATCAAGCTTGATATACTGGTGGATTCTAGACTACTTGAGCCTGAAGATAATTCAATATTGTAATGTTAAAATCAGCATATGTGGTATTATCGTACAGGATGGTGTATTTGTTGGTTGTTGATTGAGTCAGGAAATATAATGCATGATAGTTATGTTTTTTTATGCTTTGTTGGAACAGGTATTATAGAAACCATTCTTTACATAAATCTGGCCGAACTACCTAAAACTAAAGACAGAATTTTGTGTGATATCCATAGAAAGATGCCTAAATAAAACTACCAAAAAAGAGTAGATATTTACACAATATACTGATGCTTGAAGAGCATGAGAGAGATATTCCTGGACTCGAGCAACCTGAAGATATGAAACTTCTTGAACCAGAAACACTGGAACTCCGGAGTTTCAAACTAGGGGAAAAGTTGTCATGAAGGGAGCCTGAACTACAGGAACTTATAAAGCTTGAGATACTGGAGTATTCCTGGAAACTTGAGCCTGATGAGAGTTTAAAGGTGTGAAATGTTAGAAAATAAAATATGGCCTACTCTTGTTATTGACAAAATTATTAAATATACTATATTTTCTCTACCCCCAAAATGCAAGAACTAATCGCAGTTAATGAAAGAATTCTTCTACACAACAAAATCACATCTATCCTACAAAACAAAATCCCTACAGTATGACTGCAGTAAAAGTGCATTTACATAGTACGCTGATACTTGAGGAGCATGAGGCTGCAAGACTTGACCTATTGCTTCTAGAGGAATTGGCTCTTGAGTAGCTTGAGGACACAAAACTTCCTGAGATTGGGTTACTGATACTAGACACACTCATGGAAGATGAAAGAGTGTCACTGTGGAAGCCTGAACTACAAGAACTGCTGAGGCTTGATATGCTGGAGAATTCTGTGCTACAAGAACCTGAGAATAGCATATAACCGTAATGGTGATATTGAGGAGATGATACAATATATATCATTTGTGATTTTAGTTATAAATATTAGGAGTGCAGAGGATAGAAAAATAAGGAAAAATTACGTAAATCAAATTGATGCTAAAGTTGCACTCACTACTCATTTAAAAAAATATTACCTCTTTATATGCAATAATTGGTTTGTTTGTTTTTAAATATATCTGAATTTACAAATTGTTTAAAGAATTACATGTTATGCTGAAGCTTGAAGAGCAGGAGGGTGATAAACTTGGGCTATTTAAGTCAGCATCATTTGAACTGCAGGAACTTGTAGTACTGGAACTTTTGTAGCTACTGGGAGCAGTACTTTCTGAGCAACTAGAGCTTAATAAACTTGAAGAAATTGGAATAAAGGCAGAGGAAAGGCTGGAGATTGAACCTGCAGAAAATGGTTATGTTAAATATTTGAGAGCCATCAGATGTGATGCATATTTAAGAATAGATAATTATCAGCAGTGTTTATTTTGAGATACTTGATTTATTATTGACATATTATTTCTTATTGTGATATTTACACCTAACAGCATATACAGCAATGGAAACCAAATATTGCACACTGAACTTTCACATACTGAAGGCCTGAGAAAAACAAAGGCAGAACCTACTTGAACTACCATACATGGAACTGCTAGAACTGTAAGAACTTGACACCCTAGAACTCCTTGTTTCCTCTAAACCTACAAAACCTGGGCTCTTGAAACTTTCTTGATTCCCCAGTAATTCCCCACTAAAGACTGAAATACTAGAGCTACTACTTCTGGAATTCCGTGAGAGTGAACCTGTAGAGAGAAC